ACAGGGACCCCGTGTTGGAACTGGGGGTTCACCTATGTAACACTGCCCCTTAAAGGTCAGGACAGACAGTGTCAACATGAACAAGGACGGATCTTCAGAAAGAAGCTACCTTTCCCATTTGGCAGTGAACTCATCATGATTTGTTCACTGTGCATTATGTGCAGTTCAAATCCCTCTACCGTACTTTGGAAACATATTTCATCCCATTTATAGCACTGCAGTATCTCATCTGTATTCTTCTTGCTGTTTTGCAATTAACATCTTTCTCTCCCTTGAGTTTACTCCTTTTCCCCCCTTTGTTCTCCAACCATGACACCACCATCCCTAACCTTTGAGAAATACTAGAAGATTCCCAAACAATGTCTTTAAAATTTTCAAGCTTATTCAACTTATAAACCAGAAACTCGTAACGTTTGCTCTAAGAACACATCTCCTACCTCGATTCTCCCGTTGCTTTCCACCCTGACCCCTCTCCAAGCTGATTCCTATTTTTTCTTTCTTGTTCTCAGTGTGACTGTTCTCGTTTTCTCTCACATACACATGATCTTTACAACAATGTTTTACTGTCAGCATTATGTTTCATTTTCTCTAATAGTACTCTTCAATTTTAATTCATTTTATTTCTAGACATCCAATTACAGTTAGTCTGTAACTCAATGAATAAGCATTCTATCAACAGATGTACTTTCAACTACCTACAATACTGTACTCTCTTCCTAATCCATAACTAATGTCCACATCCAAGACTCCTCATTGTCGTCCTTCACTTGTTCGTAATAAGGGTCTGCCCGATGTCACTCAGTCATGCTTGTCATTTACAAAAATCTTGGTGTAGCACTGGAACTGCTCAACGCCCGTCAGGGGCTGTGTGCGGGCCTCACCAAGCCCAGAGGTCAGCATGGTTCTACAGGACCTGCCATCACTGCCTCCTCCAATCGGCCTCACACAGACCCCCAACCACACTATCTCTCCTCTGCTTCAAACAGCTTGGATTTTCATCAAGCAATGGATGATGCTGGGTGCTCTGTTGTCTCAGGGATTTAGACTCAGTTAGGAAAACTGGGGAGCTCTGGTGGCATAGTGCTTAAGGCATTTGACTGCTAACCAGAAGGCTGGAGGTTCAAACCCACCAGCCACTCCTCAGGAGGAAGGCTGGGCAATCTACTTCTGTAGTGATACTGCCTCAGAAACCCAAGGAGGGATCGCTATGAGTCGGATCCAACTCAACGGCAGTGAGTGTTTTTTTCCTAACTGAAATTCTCTTTCCAGCCCCACTCATACCATATGCCATGGGACCCACAGAACCAGAAACGTAGCCAAAAGACTTCTCTTAAAAGACTTTTTGTTTTCAAGCAGTCTAACCTGACTCTCGGGTTAGGTCCTTTTATTACATGTATGATACGGTGGAGCGCTGAAGGCACCCCTTGCTGAAGACTGCAGAACTTTAATTGACCAACAGGCATGATCAAAATAGACTAACTTGCTATTTTTCCCTCCCTTTTGTTGTCACAGATGGCTGACTTCTTTAGGTTTGTTATTTTCAATTATACATTCTGAGGGTCATTTTTTATTCTCCATTACACATTCTCTTGCACACAATCCTCTTCTACAACTGGTTTTGGCTGAGGACCATAGTCCATGAAGCAAAACAACCCTGGAAAGAGGAACATGGAGTTGGGAGAAATCACAGAAGAGAAGAATAAATACCTCCCTGGCTGTCCAAGAGATCTTAAACCCCTTCCCATCTCCTTGTATAATCATATTTATCCCTGTGCTTGATGATTAAAATAAGACCATGAGAACCAAAATATGATCTTGAATATACCCCCTCCTGAATTTAGAGACCATCTAAAGAATAGATTTGATGCATTCAGCACCGATGACCAAAAACCAGAAGAATTGTGGGATGACAAGAAGAACATCATCCATGAAGAAAGCAAGAGTTCACTAAAAAACAAGAGAAGACCAAAATGGATGATAGAAGAGACTCTGAAACTTGCCCTTGAGCAGAGGGTAGCTAAAGTAAATGTAAAGAATGACAAGATAAGAGAGCTGAACAGAACATTTCAAAGAGCATGTCAAGTAGACAAAGCCAATTACTATAATGAAATGTGCAAAAACCTCGAGTTAGAAAACCAAAAGGGAAGATCCTGCTTGGCATTTCTCAAGCTGAAAGAATTGAGGAAAAAAATTTAAGCCTTGTGTTGCAATACAGAAAGATTCTATGGGCAAAATACTGAATGATGCAGGAAGCATCAAAAGAAGATGGAAGGAATACACAGTCACTGCACCAAAATGAACCGGTAGATCTTCATCCATTTCAGGATGTGGCATATAATCAAGACCCAATGGTACTGAAGAAGGAAGTCAAAGCTGCACTGAAGGAATTGGTGAAGAACAAGACTCCAGGAATTGACGGAATACCCACTGAGATGTTTCAACAAATGGATGCCCTACAGGAGGTACTCACTCAGTTACGCCAAGAGAATCAGAAGAGAGCTACCTGGTTAATTGACTGGAAGAGATCCATATTTGTACCCATTCCAAAGAAAGGTGACCCCAAAGAATGTGGAAATTATCGAACAATATCATTAATATCTCACCCAAGTAAGATCTTACTGAAGATAATTCAAAAACGGTTGCAAGGAGTATATTGACAGAGAACTTCCAGAGGTGCAAGTTGGATTCAGAAAAGGACATGGAACAAGGGATATCATAGCTGCTGTCAGATGGATCTTGGCTCAGGGTAAAGAATACCAGAAAGATGTTTACTTGTGTTTTATTGACTATGCAAAGGCATTTCATTGTGTGGATCATAACCAACTGTGGACAACATTGAGAAGAATGGGAATTCCAGAACACTTACACATGAGGAACCTATACCTAGGCCAGGAGGCTGTCGTTCTAACAGAACAAGGGAACACTGCATGGTTTAAAATCATGAAGGGAGTGCGTCAGGGCTGTATCCTTTCACCATACTTGCTGTTGTTGTTGTTTTGTGCCGTCGAGTCGACCCCAACTCATAGCGACCCCTCCTTGGGTTTCCGAGGCAATATCACTATGGAAGTAGGATTGCCCAACCTTCCTTCCGAGGAGTGGCTGGTGGGTTTGAACCGCCAGCCTTCTGGTTAGCAGTCAAGTGCTTTAGCCACTATGCTACCAGAGCTCCCGTACTTATTCAGTCTATATGCTGAGCAAATAATCCGAGAAGCTGGTCTATATGAAGATGAACGTGGCATCAATATTGGAAGAAGAATCATTAACAACCTGCGATATGCTGATAACACAACTCTGCTTGCTGACAGTGAGGATAACTTTAGGCACTTACTGATGAAGACTGAAGACTACTACAGTCTGCAGTATGGATTACATCTCAATAAAAAGAAAACAAAATTCTCACAACTCGACCTATAAGGAGCATCATGATAAATGGAAAAAGAGTGAGGTTGTCAAAGAACTCACATTGCTTGGTTCTACAATCGACACCAATGGAAGCAGCAGTCAGGACATTAGATGACAACGTGTAGCACTGGGCAAGTGCAAAGGACCTCTTTCAAGTGCTGAGAAGCAAAGACGTCTCCTTGAGGACTAAGGTGCACCTGACACAAGCCATGATATTTTCCATCGCCTCATATGCACATGAGAGCTGGACAATGAATAAGGAAGACCAAAGAAGAGTTGATGCCTTTAAGCCGTGGTGCAGGCGAAGAATGCTGAAAGAATCATGGACTGCTAAGACAACTAACAGATCTGTCCTGGAGGAAGTGGAACCAAAATGCTCTTTGGAAAGGAGAATAGCCAGACTTCGTCTCATCTACTTTGGTCATTTTGTCAGAAGGGACCATTCCCTGGAGAAGGATGTCATGCTTGGTAAGGGGAGGGTCAACGAAAGAGGGGATGGGGTTCAACAAGATGGACTTACATGGTGGCTGCAACGATGGGCTCAAGTATAGCAAGGATCATGGAGCTGGCGCAGGATCAGGTGGTGTTTTGTTTTGCTGTGCACAGGGTCGCTATGAGTCAGAAATGACTCGAAGGCACCTAACAACAAAATCTCTTTGCTTGAAGAGACAGGCATTTTAGAGAAGCGGTTCTGTCTCAATAAGAATCCATATTCAATAAATCTTTTGCTTTCACCTTCAACCTGTTGTGTTCATAGACTTTGCACAACAGAAGGTAAGGACCCTGTTGTTCCTACAACAATGTGACCCTGTTTCTGCGTTATTTAAAACCCTCCCATGCTACACATCTAGGAGCAGACACTGTATATATTATGTTTTTGTTTCTTCTGGGTGATGACATTTATCATTGAGGACACACACACGTTACCACCACCTGTTGTGTTCACTCTTGAGCAGCACCAGCCAAGGCAAACTTTTTGTGAAGATATGGTATCCAGTAGCCCCAAGTGCCTGGTTAGCACTGAACATTAAGACTAGTCCAAGTAAGGAACAGGACTGTTTTTTCTTTTTAGTTTTAACTAATTTTAAGGGAGAAAGTGAATCGGGCTAGTGGTCACTGAAGTGGCCATCTCATCCTGCCCTCGCTCCCCACACCCTAGGCTCCACAAGCAGCTAAAACACCCCTTGATAAACAGGATGCCCCTGAGGGGGCTATCACAACTAACACTCCCTGATAAACAGGATGCACCTGTAGTGGGTATCAGAACTAACACGCCTCACCCCTTGATAAACACCTGCACTAAGCACGTACTCTGAGTCCTTGAAACAAAGAAACGTAATTAACCGCAACTTCTGCTTCTGTACTATGGCTTGCAAACACCCACCACCCCGCAACGTAGGAGCCTGTAGTTTTAACCTTTATAAACTCAGCCCCTGCAAGACCGGGGACCCTGCAGCATAGGAACTCGTTTCAGCTTCCTGCAAGGTGCTAGCCTAAATAAAACTCTTTCACCAAAAGTGGACATTATAGCGGCTATTATTGAAAATTGAACCCATAACACTTGGAGCCAGGCCACCGACCACGGGCCTCCCGGTTTCTCACCAACTTCCAGGTGACGCTGACGCTGCGGAGCCGAGAACCTCACGTAGGCTCAGCGAGGGGTCCCGCGATGTTACCTGTTCCCGCACCGAGAGACGCAGGTCCGACCGCGCCGCTCGGCGTCCAGAAAGCGGCTGAGGCGGCAGGGCCAAGATCGCGCGGGAAGCCGCGACAGGAAGTCCGGAGACTCGGGGAGGCGGAGAGATCAAGAGGGCGCGGGAGAGCGGGAGCAGCGCCTCAGACGCCGGACAGCGGGGCACCGAAAAGGGAAGCAGGCCGACTGCCGACTGAGAAATAACCACCAGAGACCGGAGCAGCGGGAAACTGGCGGCTGCCCGCTAAACAGAGGACGAACACTTCCGGGTCTGGTTTGAGGTGCCGCAAGGGGGGGATCCGTGCAGAAACACAAAGCTGCTTCCTCCTGTGTTCACTGGTTCCCCCTTGTGGCTGGGAACTGGCCACAGCTGTGTTAATTACACGACAGAGGCTAGACTATGGCTTCTTTAACGCACAGCTGAACTGAAACGTGGACCTAAGTAATCAGTGATCCCCTTAAGGAGTAGTTAACGTTGGTATTTGTATATTTTACCATTTGAAAAATATTACCACGTTTTTCAGAGAAATATACGTGACCTCAAAATGAGCAATAGTAATATTGTGACTGTTACTACTACTATTGCATACACTACACATGAACTTGGACAGGTGGAATATACAGGAACCAGATCAACTACATCCGTAGAAGAGGCTCCACTGATGAAGTGGTGAAAAACAAGGCTCCAGGAATTGACAGAATACCTATTGATATGTTTCAACACACAGACCCAGGCCTGGAGGCATTTACTCATTTCTGCCAAGAAATTTGAAGACAGCTACCTGGCCGAATGACTGGAAGAGAACTGTATTTGTACCCATTCCATAGAAAGGGGATCCAACAGAATGTGGAAACTGAACAATATTACTAATTCCACACACAAGTAAAATCTTGTTGAAGATAATTCAAAAACAGTTGCAGCAGTATATTGACAGGGAAATTCTAGAAATGCAAGTTGGATTTAGAAGAGGGTGTGGAATGAGGGGTATTATTGCTAATATATGGATCTTGGCTGAAAGCAAAGAATCCCAGAATGATGTTTACTTGTTTAACTGGCTATGCAAAAACACTGGACTGTGTAGATCATAACAAATTATGGGTAACATGAGAAGAATGCGAACAGTGCTCAGGAGGAATCTGTACACAGACCAGGATTCTATTGCTGGAACAGAAGAAGGGGGTATGGCATGGTTGAAAATCAGGGAGTGTGTTAGGGTTGTATCTTTTCACCACACTTCTTAAATATGTACGCTGAGCAAATAATCTGAGAAGCTGGACTATATGAAAAACACTGAATCAGGGTTGGAGGAAGACTCCATAGCTAGGGTGCAACCTATGATTTGCAGGTGACACAAACTTGCCTGTGAAAGAGAAGATGACTTGAAGCCGTCGTTGTTGTTGTTAGGTGCCATCAAGTCAGCTCCAACTCATACTGACCCTATGTACAAAAGGATGAAATATTGCCCAGTACTGTGCCAGCCTTCCAATCCTTGCTATCCTTGAGCCCATCGTTGCAGCCATTGTGTCAATCCATCTTGTTGAGGGCTTTCTCCTTTTTCGCTGACCCTCCACTTTACCAAGCATGACATCCTTCTCCAAGGAACGGTCCCTTCTGACAACATGACCAAAGTAGGTGAGACGAAGTCTGGCCCCTTTTGCTTCCAAGGAGCATTCTGGCTGCACTTCTTTCAAAGATGGATTTGTTCTTCCTTCTGGCCATCCACGGTAGACTCAGTATTCCTCACCATCACCACACCTCAAAAGCATCAACTCTCCTTCAGTCTTCCTCAGTCACTGTCCAGCTTTCACATGCATATGAGGTGATTGAGAACAACATGGCTTGGGTTAAGCACATCTTAATCTTCAAAGAGAAATCTTTGTTCTTCATCACTTGAAAGAGGTCTTTTTGCAGCAGATTTTCCCAGTGTAATATGACGTCTGATTTCTTGACTGCTGCTTCCATTGGTATTGATTGTGGAACCTAGTAATATGAAATCTTTGACAACTTCAATCTTTTCTCTGTTTATTGTGATGCTGCTTATTGGTCCAGTTATGAGGATTTTAGTTTTATGTTGAGGTGTAATCCATACTGCAGACTGTAGTCTTTAATCTTCATCAGTAAGTGCTTCAAGACATATTCACTTTCAACAGGCAAGTTGGTATCATCTGCAAATCACAGGGTGTGTTAATGAGTCTGCCTCCAATCTTGATGCCTCACTGTTCTTCATATAGCACACCTTCAAGGATTATTTGCTCAGCACACAGATGGAATAAGTATTATGAAAAGATATAACCCCGAGGCACTCCTTTTCTGATTTTAAGTAGCTTTTTATAGTTTTCTTTGTAGAAGTCTTTTGTGTCTCTGGTAAGATTTATTACCAAGTATTTTTTTTTTTTTTTTTGGTAGCTATTGAGAACAGTATTGATTTCCTTATTTCTTTTGCAGCAATTTCTTTGCTGGTGTAGAGGAATCCAACTGATTTTTGGATGTTGATCTTATATCCTGCGACGTTGCTAAACCTCTTAATTAGTTCCAGTAGGTTTTTGACTGAATCTCTTGGGTTTTCTAGGTATAGGATCATATCATCAGCAAATAGGGATAGTTTGACTTCTTCCTTACCAATATGGATGCCTTTGATTTCCCTTTCTTGCCTTATGGCCCTGGCTAGGACTTCCAGTACAATGTTGAATAGAAGTGGTGATAGCGGGAATCCTTGTCTAGTTCCTATTCTCAAGAGGAATGGTTTCAGACTCTCTCCATTGAGGGTAATGTTGGCTGTTGGTTTTGCATAAATGCCTTTTATTATGTTGAGGAATGTCCCTTCTATTCCTAGTTTGCTGAGAGTTTTGATCAGAAATGGGTGTTGGATTTCCTTTTCTGATTTGAAACAATGCAGTATCCCTTTGTTGTTTGAACAGCAGCCTCCTGGTCCATGTAGAGGTTCCTCATGAGCACAATCAAGTATTCAGAATTCCCGTTGTTCTCAATGTTATCCATAATTTGTCATGATCCACCAAACTGAATGCTTCTGCATAGTCAATAAAACACAAGTAAACATCTTTATAGTATTCTTTGCTTTCAGCCAAAATCCATCTGACATCAGCCATGATATCCCTCATTCCATGTCCTCTTCTGAATCCAGCTTGCATTTCTGGAAGTTCTCAGTCAATTTACTGCTGTGACTGTTTTCAATTATCTTCAGCAAGATTTTACTTGTGTGTGACATGAATGATACAGTTTGATGGTACTGAAGCACTTACTGATGAAGAATAAAGACAACAGTCTGCAATATAGATTATACTTCAACATAAAGAAAATGGAAATCCTCACAACTGGACCAATAATCAGCCTCATGATAAATGGAGAGAAGATTGAAGTTGCCAAAGATTTCATATTACTTGGTTCCACGATCAACATTAATAAAAGTAGCAGTCAACAAAGCAGACGATGTACTGCACTGGACAAATTGTCTGCAAAAGACCTCTTTCAAGTGCTAAAGAGCAAAGATGTCTCTTCAAAGACTAAGGTGAGCCTAACCCAAGCCATAGTATTTTCAATCGCCTCATATGCATATGAAAGCTGGACAATGAATAAGGAAGACTGAAGAGGAGTTGATGCCTTTGGGTTGTGGTGTTGGCAAAGAATGCTGAAAGTACTATGAATTAACAGAACAATGAATAAATCTGTTCTGGAAGAAGTACAGCCAGAATGACTCCTTGGAAGGGAGAAGGGCCAGATTTCATTTCACGAACACTGGTCATATCAGAAAGGACCATTCCCTGGAGAGGGATATCGTGCTTGGCAAAGTGGACAGTCAGCAAAAAAGGGTTAGGCCCTCAATGAGATGGACTGAGACAGTGGCTTCAACGATGGGCTCAGGTATCACAAGGATTGTGAGGTTGACACAAGACTGAGCAGTGTTTCATTCTGTTGTACATAGGGTCGCTGTGAGTCAGAGCCAACTCGACGGCACCTGACACCAACAACAGGAAATAGTGTTACTAATAGTCCTATGAGACACAGAATCCAAGAGAGGAATGGAGGATATACTTCAGTCTGGTTCCAAAGGCTGTTAGCTAATTCCTTTCAATATTCCATAGCCATAGTGGTTTTTTGGTCAAAGTGTTTAGCTGTAAGTACTATTTCACCACTACTGTTCACAAACATGCAACATGAGGTCTTTGCCATGGTACAGACTTTTCCTTGTTCAGCCAGTATGTGCTCTAGGGCCATTTAATGATCTGTGACGCTATTAGCTAAAGAACCCCATGACTTCAGGAGGGCTTTGCATCCTTGTCTTGAACCCTCTGCAATTTCCTCAGTAATTGTAGAACATTAGCTATGGTGGCAGCATTATATATTATTCCTGTTGTCAATCCCTCTATAGCAGCAACTAGACTCTTAATTAGGGAGCTCTGGTAGCATAGTGGCTAAGGCACTTGACTGCTAACCAGACGGCTGGCGGTTCAAACCCACTAGCCACTCCTCGGAAGGAAGGTTGGGCAATCCTACTTCCGTAGTGATACTGCCTCGGAAACCCAAGGAGGGGTCGCTATGAGTCAGGTCTGACTCGACGGCACATAACAACAACAACAACAACAAGACTCTTAATTCCCCAAGAAGTAAGAATAATAGGTAAGGGCAGTGTCTGTGTGAGTTCTTGTAAGGGCAGTGTTTGTGTGAGCTCCTTGTATGGAAACCAACTGTTGATATACCTGAATCTGCTCTTCAGGTATCACATGGTACAGAGCCGTCCAATCTGGGTTAAGTTTAATCATGAAAAAGCCTAGGTCTCATTTGCACCAGTGCATAAAAAACATGGAGAGATGATTTACACAAAGCAAGCTGGAATCATTTATCTACCAGGAGATAATGTCAGGGTTCAGATCAGAGTTCCTGAGGACCCAGTGTCTAAAGTATGCGATATGATGTAGAATGCATTCAGGGTATGACTCATACACTTGGATTTCTTCACAACCCTTCCCTCTCAGAAAAGTGTTCCTTTCCACTTCTTCCAGTCTGTTCCATCTCCAAAGGACTGGAACATTAGTTACTAAGGTTCAGATAATGTCCCCATGGTGATGGCAAATGAAGTCAGTTTGAGAGCTATTAGTTGAGAAAATAAGAGCTGTCAAACCACAGATACAAAGCAAGGTTATGGTTGTGGCTAATGTTGGGCTATGTTCCAATCCATCCCAACTAAGAAATTGCATATGAAGTTCTGTATTCCCTATCTTACACTG